CAGGAGTTTGTGCTATATAAAATTGAAGAATTGGCTGCGGCAACAGGAAACTTTGATGATGCCAATAAGCTTGGACGGGGTGGTTTTGGGCCAGTATATAAGGTATAAGTATACATGTAGGTATTATAAATGTTATGTCTGTTCATTTTAGTAGCTCATGTAGTTCTTGTGTACAGGGGACACTACCAAACGGTCAGGAAATCGCAATCAAGAGGCTATCGAGAGCCTCAGGACAGGGGCAGCAAGAATTTGTGAACGAAATGGTGGTCATTTGTAAGGTCCAACATCGAAATCTTGTTAGACTTCTCGGATGCTGTGTTGAAGGAGACGAGAAAATGTTAATCTATGAATTCATGCCAAACAAGAGTCTAGACACATTTCTTTTTGGTAATATTTCGCTTATTATAATGTTGCCTTGTACTATCATTCATACCACTATATCTGGAAACCCTCATTTGTATAGTTAGACTTTTAGGCTCCGTTTATTTCGCGAGAGTGAATGATTCTAAAAATGATCATTTGTATCATTTACAAAAATAAATGGAAAATACTTTCACTGTCTACAAAAATGTTTAGACATAAATTGTCGGTGATGAAAATATTTTTTATTGACTAATTATTTTAAGCAATACAAGCGATCCCTTTTAGGAAAATATTGTTCAAATCATTCATTTTCCGTGAAACAAACAGAACCTTAAACAGGATTGTACTGTTCCTTCTGCAGATACTTCCAATTGTCTGTTTGGCTTTGAACTTCTTTATGTGCATTTCAATCTTTCCCAGTTGCAAAAAATGAACTTTTTGCATTTTACTTCTATTATCTATTCAGATCCAGTTAAACAAGTACATTTGGATTGGAGAACACGGTTCAACATAATTGATGGAATTTGTCGAGGTCTACTTTATCTTCATAGGGACTCTAGATTAAGGATTATTCATAGAGATATGAAGGCTAGCAATATACTGCTGGATGAAGAGCTCAATCCAAAAATTTCAGACTTTGGAATGGCTCGGATATTTAGGGCAAACGAAAATCAAGCTAATACACGAAGAGTTGTGGGAACCTAGTCAGTACCTTTTTTTTTTTCAATGTTGCGAGTGATTTTATTCTCCACTCAGAATAAGGAACCTGATCTTGTTTGATGGATAATGTAGTGGTTACATGGCTCCTGAATACGCAATGGAAGGGCGATTTTCGGAAAAATCAGATGTCTTTAGCTTTGGCATATTATTACTGGAGATCATAAGTGGAAGACGGAACACTAGTTTTTATGAGGAAGATCAATTCTTGAGCCTTCTAGGACAGGTAAGCTCTCATTGATATGGAAGTTGGAACTGCATTGTGTTCTCATAAACTGGAACTCCAATAGTAAGTTGACTCGATTAATTTGCAGGCATGGCAGCTGTGGAATGAAGACGATACTCTAGCCCTAGTGGACCCAAACATTCCTGTTAGATGCTTCAAGGTTGAGCTTTTAAGGTGCATAAATGTGGGGCTTCTTTGTACACAAGAAAGGGCGAAAGATAGGCCTTCCATATCAACTGTTATCTCAATGATCAACGGTGAAATTGTGGATCTTCCCCGCCCGAGGCAACCTGCATTCACCGCGAGAAAAATAACCCAAGACACAGATTCCTCCGGACAAAGCCAAAAGACATGTTCTGCCAACGATGTTACTCTTACTGTTCTTCAAGGCAGATGACATGATCTGAGTTTTTGCACGATTCTCACTATGTGTCCTGTTCTTACTGTTTCAAGTTCGACTAGTTTTATTTTTACACAATCTTGCTTGGAAATGTATACAAACGCAAAACATAAACTATTTTTTCCACTTTACAGTTCTTTACTACACATATTTGGGTCATCAAAAGTTGGGCTTCAAATATTTGGTACCTTCTGTTGGGAATATTGCTTGTACTTCTCATCTCAGGAGGCAGTGGTTTAGACAGAGTTCTGGAAAAATTGCGAACAGGCCCGCTCTACTGTGGGGTGAATTGCAATGAGCCCCCACCTTCAAATGTTTGCTACTACCCCTTGACGTTTCTATTTGTTCCAAATTAGAATCCAAATCTTGGCAACGCTAGAAATACCCTCAAATTTGCAATAGCCTCAAGTGTTCACTAATTTCATCTCGCATCATAAATTCAATGACATGGCTAGCTCAAAATATTCCACTAATCCTGTTGAGGTAAGAAGATATAGTTGATTTAACTCAACACTGCAGTCCTTGTCGATTGATTGTACGATTTCAATCAGTATGACTAGTTGTGAGCAACTGGAAACAACCAAGAAAGTGGAAATGTCATGAATCTACCAAGAAAGTGGCAATTCACGGAAAGCAATTGGGGCCACAATGTTGAATGAAGGAAACGATCTAAAATTTCCATGGCATGCTCTCTCAGACTGGTAATCCTCCAAGACTCAAATGCTTTTTCTACAGTTGCCCTCTTCAATGGGGCAAAAATCCTGATGTAGAAACTCAAGCACTTAGTCAATGCTCTCACCTTGGCAACTACACCTTGACGTTTCTATTTGTCCCAAATTGGAATCCAAATCTTAGAAACGCTAGAAAATTTTCTTTAACCGTAAATTGTTTTTATAAAAATTAATACTTTGTTTTACACAAAGTTATTAATCGTTTACAAATATATTGTAATAGATTTTTCTCATAAAAAATTACTAAATGAAATTTTTTTTATTAAATAGTAACTCCTGATATGTTGAAGAAAGGGTTGATATGAATATTCACTAGTTATATAAAAACATTACTAGTGACTATCGATAGATAGTTAGATGCTTAATTTCTCCATCTGAAATTTTTTTATTTTTATATATCTATATATTTATGAGATTATGAATATCTATATCAGATAATTCCGATTCTATCTAAACAGCAAAGTGGGCAAGTCTGGATAAATAATTTGTTATTTCCACAGAAAATTCTAAATTGGTTCACTCGTGCCACATTTGCCTAAATTAATATTCATGTCACAAAAATCTCAACCCAATACCCTCATGCTACATTTAACCCAAACTAATTTTCATGTTATAGAAAATCTCAAATGGTTTTCCCGTTAGCTACCATCTCCAATATCTTGTCAGCTTTCGTTCAATTTTTTTATACGAAAATTAGTTTGGGTTAAATTTGGCAGATGACCGAAAATTAGTTAGGGGTAAATATAATACGGGTGTACTAGTTTGAGATATTTAAGGAACGAAAATCAATTTAGGGAAAATGTGACACGAATTTACCGATTTGGAATTTTATGGTAATAGTCCATGCCCATGAAGACCCACTCAGTTTAATGAACAAATTACAAAATATATTTACACGACACCCATCCCGACCGTTACGCGAGGGACAACCTCTCAAATCTCATGTCTTCATTACCCAAACTTTCGTTTCACATTTCGTCGTCTCTCTTCTTGCACGGCGAAATGACAGCGATAGGTTGAATTCGGAAAGCGTCCAAAGAGCAGAGTCCCCTCCAACACATCATTTCGTTCCTTCCCTCCACTTGTGCGAAAAGATTGAGAGAGTGGGGACTGCCACGATGTCCTGACCCGCCAACCGGTCTTCGTCCCTCAAATCCACATGCTCTCTAATCGAGTCACTGGGGAGATGTGATCCCTCCTCCTCCTCTCCCGCTTGGCTTGACGGGTTCAGCAGCCACTGGCAGTAGGCCCAGGATGGGCTTTCGTCATTTTCGCCGCCCGCAGCCTGTGAGACAGCGAACAGGTGGAGAAAGATTGGGTGTCAGCATTTGCGGTTTTGGGGGGGACACTAGATATCTTTTGTGTTTCGACGTGGTCTGAGACATCAGTTCATGTCTCCTTTGTGATCTGCAGGTGAAACGAGACATCTGAGAGAAGTCATAGCAACTACAGTCATCATAGGAACACTCGTTGTCATCATGACAATATGGTTTGCCAGGAGGAGGGCGCAAAAGAGAGGTAACGAGTAATGCAGCTGTTAGATCCTCGCATGCCATTTAGTTCTGAGTTTGCATGGATTATATAACTAAGACCGTTGTCTGGAACAGCAGAAAAGGAAAGCAAGGAAAAGCATTTATCCAATGGAGAAGCCCCTTCTGTGGTTTCCAGGGAAAAAATGCTTGGAGAGAACTTGAGCAGAGTTAACTTCCAGGAGCTTGTGCTGCATAAAATTGAAGAATTGGCTGCGGCAACAGGAAGCTTTGGCGACGCCAATAAGCTCGGACGAGGTGGCTTTGGGCCAGTATATAAGGTATAATTATTCATGTAAAGTATCATATATGTGAGTGGGTGTGTGAGTGTGTGTGTGTCAATTTTAGTGGCTCATTTAGTCCCCGTGTACAGGGCACACTCCCAAACGGTCAGGAAATCGCGATCAAGAGGCTATCGAGAGTGTCAGGACAAGGGCAGCAAGAATTTATGAACGAAATGGTGGTCATTTGTAAGGTCCAACATCGAAATCTCGTTAGACTTCTCGGATGCTGTGTTGAAGGAGATGAAAAAATGTTAATCTATGAATTCATGCCCAACAAGAGTCTAGACACATTTCTTTTTGGTATTATTTTTTAATTATAATGTTGCCTCATATTATCATTCATACCACTATATCCAGAAAGCCTCATTTATATAGTTAGCCATTTAAACAGGATTGGATTGTTCCTGCTGCAGATGCTTTCAGAATTCTGTTTGACTTTGAACTTCTTTCTTTGCATTTCACCCTTTTCCAGTTGCAAAAATGAATTTTTTTTGCATTTTACTTCTATTGTCTGTTCAGATCCGGTTAAACAAGTACATTTGGATTGGAGAACACGGTTCAACATAATTGATGGAATTTGTCGAGGTCTACTTTATCTTCATAGGGACTCTAGACTAAGGATTATTCATAGAGATCTGTAGGCTAGGAATATCCTGCTGGATGAAGAGCTCAATCCAAAAATTTCAGACTTTGGAATGGCTCGGATATTTGGGGGAAACGACAATCAAGCTAATACACAGAGTTGTGGGAACCTAGTCAGTACCTCTTTTGTTTTGATGATTCTAGTGATTTTATTCTCTACTCAGATTAAGGAATCTGAACTTATTTGATGGATAATGCAGTGGTTACATGGCTTCTGAATACGCAATGGAAGGGCAATTTTCGGAAAAATCAGATGTGTTTAGCTTCGGCATATTATTACTGGAGATCATAAGTGGAAGACGGAACACTAGTTTTTATGAGGACGATCAATTCTCGAGCCTTCTAGGACTGGTAAGCTCTCATTGATATAGAAGTTGGAACTGCATTCTATTCTCATATACTGGAACTCCGATAGTAAATTTACTTGATTAATTTGCAGGCATGGAAGTTATGGAATGAAGACAATGTTCTAGCCCTAGTGGACCCAAACATACCTGTTAGATGCTTCGAGTTTGAGCTTTTAAGGTGCATAAATGTGGGGCTTCTTTGTACGCAAGAAAGGGCAAAAGATAGGCCTCCCACACCAACTGTCATTTCAATGATTAACTGTGAAATTGTGGATCTTCCTCGTCCTAAGCCACCGGCATTCACCGCAAGGCGATTAACCCAAGAAATAGATCCCTCTGGCCAAAGCCAAAAGACATGTTCTGCCAATGATGTTACTCTTACTGTTCTTCAAGGCAGATGACATGATCTGAGTTTCTGCACGATTCTCACTATGTGTCCTGTTCTTACTGCATCAAGTTCAACTTGTTATTGTTGAGCAATCTTACTTAAATAATGTATAGAAACGCAAAATTTGAACTGTTTTTCCACTTTACAGTTCTTTACTACACATATTTGTGTCATCAAAAGTTGGGGTTCAAATATTTGGTACCTCCTGTTGGGAATAACTTCTACTTCTCATCTCAGTAGGCAGTGGTTTAGATAAAATTCTGGAAGAATTGCGAACAGCCCCTCTCCACTAGGGGGTGAATTGCAATTAGCCCCATCCTTCAAATACTTGCAATTATCTTCTCCCCTTGATGTTTCTATTTGTCCCAAATTAGAATCCAAATCTTAGAAACGCTAAAAATACCCTCAAATTTGCAAATAGCCTCAAGTATCTGCCCATATTCATCTCTCTTCCTAAGTTGAATGACATGGCTAGCTCAAAAAATTTCCACTAATCCAGCCGATGTGAGAAGATATAGTTGATTTTACGCAACGCTGCAGTCCTTGTCGATTGATTGTATTGATTGCAGTCCGTATAACTAGTTGTGAGCAAGTGGAAACTAAGAGCGCGAATGATAACCATTCTGCTTCTGTCAAGAACTAGTTTTCTGTTCCCAGAAACGGGTTTGGAACAGAAATCCTTTTGGTAATGCAATTCCATTTTTCTATTTCTGGAACAACTTTTTGTTCCAGAACTGATTTTGGACAAAAACTCAGAACAAAAAAAAAGTAGGTTTTCTGTTTCTGGACTAGAAATGAAAATCATTTCTAAAAGAACCTATTTTCTCTCTTCAAAACACATCTCTTCCTAAATTTGTCCTCGATCTAACCTGGTCAAACCGATTCGAACCGGTTTGGTCTAGTTCATTCCCGACAGGAAAATAAAAAAAAATTCTAAAAAAATTAGAAAAATCAGAAAAAATAAAAATTCATAAAATTTTTTAGAAAATCAGGAAAATTTCTAAAAATCTCAAAAAAAATTTCAGAAAATCCATAAAAATTGGAAAATTCCAGAAAATTAAAAAAAAAATCAGATTTCAGGAAATATTTGAAATTTGGTGAATTTTTTCAAAAAAAAATCAAAAAATCAAAATATTCAAAACTTCATAGGATAGCTTAGAATACCTATGGCCACCCATTTTGAGTGAAATTTAAATTTTTTGAGGTGCCCAAATGGTATTTTTGAAGACTCCTTAGTTTAGGGATTTAAAAGGGGTTTTAACCCCTAAAAAACCCTAAAATTGGTTCTAAAAAATGGATTTCTATTCCAGGAAATAGAAATTTGTGTTGTTATCAAATGGATTTCTATTCCAGGAAATAGAAATTTTATGCTGTTATCAAACGGGTTTCTTTTTCAGAAATAGAAATTTTTTATCGTTATCAAACGGGTTTCTTTTATCAGAAACTCATCTTGGGAACAGAAATAAAAAAATCTATTTCTGTTTAAGAAATTGTTTCTGGAACAGAATGGTTGTCATTCGCGTCCTAAGTGCCTGGAAATGTTCGTGAGTCTTCAAACAAAATGGCAATTCAAGGAAAGCAATTGGGGCCACAATTCTCACTATGTGTCCTATTCTTGCTGTTCCGAGTTCGACTAGTTTTATTTTTAGAAATTGCTTGGAGATGTATAGAAACGCAAAACATGAGCTAGCCATGTCATTGAATTTATGACACGAGATGAAATTGGTGAACACTTGAGGCTATTGCAAATTTGAGGGTGTTTCTAAAGTTGCTAAGATTTAGATTCTAATTTGGAACAAATAGAAACGTCAAGGGGTAGTAGCAAACATTTGAAGGTGGAGGCTAATTGCAATTCACCCCATAGTGGAGCCGGCCTATTCGCAACTTTTCCAGTACTTTATCTAAACCACAGCCTCCTGAGATGAGAAGTAGAAGCATTATTCTCAACAGAAGGTACAAATATCTGAACCACAACTTTTGATGACACAAATACGTGTAGTAAAGAACTGTAAAGTGCCATGCGTTGTTTCACAATCTCACTTGGGTTTTCACCGATTTATCACTTGGGTTATGCCCGTCATGTGATTACGACATCCGCTATCGATATACCACATGTCATTCTTCTCCGCATTTGTCGCTTGACATGTGTAGAATATATTGTCTATATTTTCTTTTTCTTCAAGATAATTAGCTCGGCAATCTGTTTTTCAGCGAATGTCTTTTCTAAGTGGCCATATTTTTTACAAGATTAGCAATGTGGTTTACTATGAAACCAGCAATCTTTCTCCAAGTGATTTATTTCTTTCAAATACTAATAAGGCTCCGTTCGTTTCCGGAAAAACATTTTTCCGGAAAACATTTTCCGCGTTTTTAGGTGTTCGGGGGCGGAAAATGTTTTCCGTGTGAAAACATTTTCCTTCCCCACCCCCAAATCCTTCATTGTTTTGAGGAAAATGATTTTCTCTTTTCACAAAGAGGAAATCATTTTCCTCCAAAGTGAAGGCAAAATTGCCCATGGGAGGGAAAATGTTTTCCGTGGGAGAGGAAGTTGATCGCCGGTCACCGCCATCCGCCGCCGGTCGTTGGCCGCGGGCCGCCGGGTCGCCGACCGCGGGCCGCGGTCGCCGGCCGCCGTCGCCGCGCCGCCGCCGCCGGGTCGCCCGCCGCCGCCGCCGCTGATCGCCCGCCTTCCGCCGCCGCCGGTCGCCCGCCGCCGGCGCGCCGATCGGGCGGTCGCCAAACACCCGAAAAATATTGTCCGAAACTTTTTCAAATTTTAGCCGAACACCAGAAAATTGTGTTCCAGGAAAACATTTTCCAGGAAAATGACTTCCGGGAGAATATTTTCCAAAAGGAGAATATTTTCCGGCAAACGAACGGAGCCTAAAGGGTGAATATTTTTCTTTTGGAGAGTTTCTCCTCCTCTTTTATTTTTGGGTTAATACCACGGAAAATCCCAAACTGGTACATATGTGACAAATTTATCTCAAACTAATTTTTTTATCACCAAAAACCCCAAATTGGTACACCCCCTAACAAATTTACCCCAAATTAATTTTTTGACTACAAAAAACCCAACCCCAAATTGATATACTTGCGACAAATTTGCCTTCTGTTAAATTGGATTAACATCACAAAAAATCATAAACTATTACACATATGACAAACGTAAGGGTAAAACCCCAAATTAGTATACCCGTCAACTGCCACATGTCATCCAACTTAGTAATTTGAAGGTAAAATTAATGAAAACTAATTGATGGTAAATTTGTCATAGGTGTACTAGTTTGAGGTTTTTTGTGGTAAAAAAATTAATTTGAGATAAATTTATCATAGTGTACCTGTTTGGGGATTTTCATGATATTAACCCTTTATTTTTCCACAAACTCCTGTGAGACCTTATTTTTATTTTAAACGGAAATGCACTTTCATTTAATTTTTCATCTTATACCATAACTATTTTTTCGTGCACCTCATTGATAGGGTTCTTAAATCCTTAGATTCTTCTATGACAATAGGGTTTTATTTTCTAAGGAGTGTCACCAATATTTTTTCTACTATCCTTAGTGAGTGATATCATCTCCATAGACTTTTATTAATTTACTAGTTCTTTTAATCTACCACAATATAATTGGACGGTTTCATAATCTTCCATCTTCGAATTTTCAAATTCACTTCTAAGAGATTGAAGTCTAACTGAGGCTAGCTATGTTGTGCTTTGGAACTCTTCTTTTAGTATATCACATGCCCTTTTTGCGATTTTCGCTCCAATGATTCTTGGAAATATGTTTCCAAGAGTGCTTGCTGGATGACACTGGAACTCTTGCGCCTTCTTTAGGAGCCACATATCCTTTCTCCATGTCCCATAAATTTTAGCCCATCAAGAAAGTAATTATTTTAGTATTATAGTAGTCATAGATATTTCCATAGAAAGTAGGAATAATTAATGACTATGAGGTAGAGTTGGCCGTAGTTTTGGTGTTGGATATAGGTGGATGATTTTAGTAGCAGGTGTAAAAAACGAACGCCCAATACTCACTGATCGAGGTTCTAATACCGATGTTAGTTCTTAGTGATAGCATGTGGTATAGGTTTTGATGTGAAAGTGTATTTACGTGTGCGCATTTTGGCAAAGAAGCAACAATGGACAAGTCAGAGAATTTTTACTAAATAGTTTCTGCATTACAAGTGGTAGACCGCATGGGCTTTTCTAGTAGGTCTATGCACTTCAAGACCGAATAGCTATAGGCTCATTTAAACGAACATACTCCTGTAATAATGATAAAAACATAAGCTACGGGTACTCAAGTCTAAGACTTTTTGACTTTGCCCATGATATTTTGTTGCCTAAGCATGCAATATTTGTGTCTTTCTTTGACCACGTCAAAGAGTTAGTGGTGGGACCCACTTTAAAAAAAAAAGGAAATAGAAGCAAAAAGTTGGACTCTACAGCTTATATAGAGGCCACGACACGCAAAAGCAAAGAGGAAGGAAAAGGAGAGAGAGAGAGAGAGATGAAAAAAAGTAGAGAAAGAAGAGCGTAGGGGTTTCTCGTATGGTTGCCACGAATGCCTCGTCAAACCAATTTAACTCCGATTTGCAACGTCTGGTAAGTACTTGTGTCCTCCGTTCATCAAATCGAAGTAATATTTGGGGTTATGGCATAAATTTGGGGCTTTGTGGATTTTGAACTACGAGATACGATTAAGAAGTCATTGAACTATGAATATATATAGAAATGATAGTTTGGGGTGTTGTGAGATCGTAGGACTTTACGGATCTTGATTTGGACTTATGGTTTGTCCGAAACAAAATTTTAAAGTTAGCCACGAGTGATGAATAGTGCCCGCCAGCAGCTTTCAAACTGATTTTCAATGGTTTTTAGCTCGATTTTGGATTGGCCAAGTTTTGGATCTTTTAGTGCTTTGAAAGATCTTTCTTTTGACTATAAGTTCACTTGAAACAGAATTCGATGGAAAGAGTTATGATGTGATCAAGTTTCTTGTTTGAGCTTCGCATTGT